TTTTATGGAAACACGCATATATGCGAAAGTCTGCGAGTCATGGGAGTTTTTCTTTTCTTTAAAAATTCCTAAACTAAGCTAAATAATGTACCTTTACAATCCTTTCATATTTTAAGAGAAATTATCTCTGGCTAGTTTTATATTTAAAAAAAAAATTCATTGTTTTACAACTATTCTAAATAATTTAAATGGGACATTTGCAATTAACATTGGTTTTGATGTATTTGATTGAAATTTTCTTACTTGCAATAACGTATGCGACAAACCTTAAAGGGTAATTAAATTTTTTTTACTTCGGTTGGAAAGAAAATTTTACTGTATATCTTTAACTAGAAGAATTCTCGCTTAAGAATTGTAATCTGCATTACCTGCGACTGCCAATATACAAATGACATAGACAAACAATGTTTTTGCATAACGTACGCGACATTAGAATACTATCAGAAGCAAATCAAAAAATTACCGTTATTCGAGCTCTAACTTCTCCTTTTTCTCAATTTTATAGTTAGTTGTTATTGCAAATTTGACTTTAAGATGTAATTGTAATGTTTCAAATCTCTTAATTTAGTTAATAGGAAAGAGAAAATAGTTCATTTCATTAGAGAAAACTGAGTCGAAGAGACATTCAGTTTTACTCTTCCATTTTTGAGTTTTAAAATTCCAATAAGCTGAAATACTTCCATAATATAAGAATTCGAGTATTTTTCTCTTATTAATTCGTCTTAAAAACCCTTTTCAGTTTGTTTTTATTTTTTCAGTCCTGGTTGACATTTTCATGGAAACACCCATATATTAAAAAGTCCTTTTTTGGCATGCTTAAAGTTCAAAAAAATATATCTCAAAAACTGTATGTGTCAAATGAAAACAAAAAAATACGGGTATCAAATTTTTACCCAGAGAATGCAATGGCAAACCCCCTCGGCAGGCAATGGCAAACCTCCGAGTGTATTTCTGCCATGAAAAACAGCTTCTCATAAAAATACAATCGCCGTTCGGAGTCGGCGTAAAACTGTAGGTCCCTCCGCTTTGTGTGACAACATCAAGGCGCACGCCACAAGTGTAGGAGAGCTCGGCCAAACACTAACATATGTGTAAGCGCCAATCTATTATCTATATATTAATACGCTAACATAAATTTTGTCTCCGTTCGTTTGGCGATTCTACCGAACCGATTTCAAAACCAAGAACACCGTTGGAAAGGCATTTTTCCGTAGATCAGCAGAGTTTATATGGTTTCACAATTGGTTGAAAATTACGGTCAAAGGCGTCGTTTAAACATTTTCGAATTGTGTAAAGATGTTGCTGCAACATGTTCAATTTGACATGTTTCGCCTGTTGTTTCACTACACATTTGAAATTAAGCTTTGAAATAAAGATAAATATGAAGATGAAGAAATAAATGATAACGATCCAGTCAAAAAAAAAGAAGGCAAAAGTGAAGATAAAGACGAAAATGGAGACAATGACAGATACATAAGAATTAGAGTAACTGAAAGGGTAAGAACATTTCTTGAATTTATGAAGTGAAACTTCTTTAGCGGCAGTTGGTTGTTTGGGAGTAAATTGTCAAATTCAAGGGGAATAATGCACGGTTTAGCGGTTTGAGAATAAAAACAAAAACAAAGATACCTAAATAGAGGTACAGGCAAAAACGAAGATCAAAGTAAATTTAAACACTTTAAGTTAAAGGTGAAGACGAATATGCAAAAATAAAGATAAATATGAAGAAAAGGATGAGGATAAAGATCGATATTGTTATAGATATAAAACTCGATATTTGTCTCGATATAATAATCGATATTGCTATCGACAAAATAATTGATATTGTTATCGATACTGTTATTGATTAATAACCGCTATTGTAATCGATATAATAATCAATATAATAATCGATATGGTTATCGATACAATAATGATATTGTTATCGGTATAATAATCGATTAAATATTTGATTTTTTTTATTGATTTAGTAATTTATGTTGTTATCGACATGTACAATAATCGATACTGATGATTGTTATATTTACCGATGAATTAATCGATTTTGCAATCGTTTTATGTTTCTATATGTTTATGGATATTGTTATCGGTATTTTTATCGACACAGTTATCAACAGGGTTATCGATATAATAATCGGAACATGGAATGTGATCACATTACATGACATCACATCACATGATATGGTGAGACATCACATGATATTACATCACATTATATGATATCACCTCACACGATATCACGTGACATGACATCATATGATATGACATCCCATTATATGGCATGACATCACTTGACTTGACACACATGCTATGGTATCATATGACATGACATGGCATTACATGACGTGGCATCACATGATATGACATCATATGGTATGACATCATATGACATGACATCAGAGGATATGACAACATATGACATGACATCCTATCACATCACATAAAATCACGTCACATCTTATCACGTAATCGCACCTTATCTCATCTACGTGAATAGAAAAAGAAAAGGATATAAGCAAAGATGTGAAAAATAAAAACAAAGATGAAGACCAAGGTAAAGTTACCGATTTCAAAACCAAAAACACCGTTGGAAAGGTAATTTTCGGTAGATGAGGAGAGTTTTTATAGTTTCGAAATTGGTTGAAAATCATCGTTTAAAAATTTCCATATTTGTGTATGGTTCTTTTTGCAACCTGTTCAATTTAAGCTGTTTCGCATTTTGTTTTACTTCGTATTTGAAATTAAACTGTGAAATAAGATAAATATGAAGATGAAGAAACAAGACGATGAAGACAAAAAAAGGCAAAAGTGAAGATAAAGGCGAAAATGGAGACAATGAGAAATACATAAGAATTAGGGTAACAGAGTTGAAATTTTCCGATAGGAATCGAAATAAAATCAGCCATAAAGGTTACTGAAATTTATCGAATGATCGAAGTTTATAATTATCGAAATTTATCCTTGCTTTATGCTTATTAAGTTGTCGCAGCGTATCGAATTATTCAAACTGATCAATGTTTATTGAGTTGTCGAAATTTATAGACACAGAAACTTAGTTGTGCGAAATTACGGATAGTTATCGAGCTATAAAAACGTGTGGGATTAACGAAAATTGTCCAGTTAAAGAAATGTATCAAGTTATCGATATTTATTGCATTATCAGTATTTATAGACTTAACGAAATTTATCGAGTTTTTGTAATGCATGGAGTTCTTTCAACTTACAGAGTTATCGATAATTATTGATCTACTGAAATTGGTTGATTCATCGAATCGAAATTTATGGAATTTTCAAAATATAGCGATGTATCGAAATTTCAAGGTTATATAAGCTTATGGATTTATCACTGCTTATCGAATTTTATCGTGTTAATAGAGTGTAACGAGTTATCAAAATTTTTCGATAGCTTTCGAAAAATGTGGAGCTGTCAAAAGCAAAAATTTATAAAGGTATCCAAAGAATTAACATTTTTGATATATAGAAATTTATCGAGCCCTAGAATTTCAGTGTTATTGAAATTGGTCGAGCTAACGAATTTTGTTGAGTTATCGGATTTTAGTGTTTTCAAATTCATCGAACTATCGATATGTATCAAATCATTGAAATTTATCGATGAACTGGAATGTATCGAGTCAATTCCAAGTCCTGTCGAATTCCAAAGACCTTCTAAGATAAAAAAAAAGTTTTAGTTACGTTTTAGTTCCAAAACAGAAGATTTTCCAGTAAGCTAATTTGTACTGTACAAGTTTTGCTACGTGTTAAGTAAGAAAACCTCCCCAGGGCTTCTAAACACTAGAAAAACTGTCGAATTTCGACAGTGACTGGCACTCTAGTATTATTATAAATGTTGAACTATAAAACATAGCGACATGTGTCACATCATGCCAGTGCCAGTTCATATAATGTCGTTCATACATGTCACATAATAACATATGAAGACACTGTCGAATAATTGAAATCAAATCATGCATCAAATCTATGCATGTCAACACAAGGAACACATGCGACACATGCGACATAGTGAGCATTATTAATTACATTTTATATACGTGAAGAGATTTTGTAAATTTTTTAAGCACCTATTATAGTAAAATGCATTAAAGAATTGTCTAATTAAAAACCTGTATATATTTTCATCCAAGGCAGGATCAAACAGTGTTAAAAATATGCTACAGAAGCACAACAGCGAACAACTGCTTCGCTAAGTAGCAACGATATGCTAAAACAGTATGTTTGAGATGGAATGACATGGCATAACACCTTGTTTGACATAGCAATGCATGAAATTTTTGAAAAAGACATTTTTACAGGAAATGTTGAATTTTGCAGCTCTTTAATATATAAGATATAGATTCTTTACTATTTACTAAATAGTATTTAGATTATTCTGAAAGTATGGTTTTCAGGGTAGCTATTAGAGGAAACCGGTTATCTCTCTTAATATGCGTAAATTTAAACAAAATTTTTAAGAGTGTACTTACTGCAATATTTTTGTAAAATCATTGCAAATAATTTTTGAACTCAAAATGTTTATCGTAATGCAAAAATTTAGTTACACAAGCAAACCCTTAGACGCATCTTGCTCCATAGTGGAAAATCATAATGAACCCCTGATTATACCTCTCCTATTGATAGATAGGCTCTGAAGCTATTTAACCTCAATGTGACAGGGTAACGTAGTGACGTGGTGCCGCTCGCTTTCTCAATTTACCAAGCTGCCAAAGTGGTATTTAATACTAATACTTTGCTAGCTGATTGAACGATTTGCAAATAGCACAAGAAAGGATACTGGACAAATTTACCTAGTTAATAATAACGAGTCATGCGTTTAACGACCTATTTGAATTTTATAATATTTTCAGGGACGGTTATCATTATAAGTAAATTAATTTAAATCAGCATTTAATCATTCTTTTGTGATTTTTATTTTTTTAACTCAAAAATAATAATTATTGTTGAGATTTATTTTTTTACTATTTTAGGGGAAGTTTGATAGATACCGTAATAATCGGACATATCCACTGGCACTACTTGAACCAGTCGGTAACTTTTTAGCAGTTCACGTAAAAGCAGCTCCGCTAAGTAGAACAATAGGACTAAGTGTGGATTATCAGCCAGCATACCGTCAGCCGTCGAACTAAGAACAAAAATATCAAAATTCAGAAACACTTCTATGCTTTTATGATTCTTTAATATAAGTATAACTGATTTCGTTTCTTCCAAAAAATTGTCCCCTTCCACGGTGAAAAATGTGTTTGATGTTGCACTCAACCCTGTAAAAGGGCATGTTTTTGCTCCTTGTCCTTGTCCAGCTCACGCATTTCATAATATTGACGTTTTAAGTAACCATCTGATTTTCAGGGTTAAGCATCTCTCCTGACAAAACTTCAAAGGGCAGATAATGTGCCCTTTATGCCTTGAAAGAAGGCGAAATTTTAAGAAACGAACATAAATTTTCTCACCGTTTGCCTTTATTTTAGAATTGAACACGAAAAGAGAAAGGGGCGAAGTATTTTGGTAGAAACGAAAACAACATTAATCGTGTATGTATAATGAAATGTAGTTACATAAAAATATTCCAAATAACGAGTTTACCTTCTGACTTGCGGCAATATTATTTGCGCTGTATGCTTACATGATTCGACGCAGGTGCGACGCAATTTTCGTATATTTTCACGCCACTCAGGACAATCCTTCGACATACCAATTTCCGTTAACATATCATGAAATAAAGCCACGTGACTATTGATTTCAACGATAAGCTGGTTATATAAGTAAAACAAACTGAAATCATTAATCTATAATTGCATTACATGTAGTTTATGAAATATTGTTTCAGTGACTATTTAGTATACGGTTCTATTTCCGCATTTACCACTTGTCTACAAATCGACTACTTTATCGACTGCCTCTTATATGCATGTGAGCGACAAATTCGAAGGGCAATCAAAGCACCCATTAACTATAACAGGCAGTCTGAAAACGGACATAAGCTCCATATTGTTTGAAAATTAAAGAAAAACTTTAACTGAAACTGAAATATTAAATATAAAATTCGTTTATTATGTATGTGTATTAAGATGATCAAAATATTTATATTTTGAAATCAAAAAAATATTTAGAGGTCGCTCAAAGCGGTCCATTCCATGTATTTTATATTGGGGAAAACTACTTTTCGTAGAAATGATATGGAATTCTTAAAAACTCTGGTTCTCTTCAGGAGACCTCCAATAACAATACCCAATTGTTTATTTAACCATTTTTTAATACTACAGATTTTTATTTATCCCCGCATTGCATTTTCTGGGGGTTTTTGCGGACCTATAAACTATAGTACTAGGAAAGAATAGTTAATTAGATAATTATTCTCCTGAAGAGAAACAGAGTTTTCCGATCGAAAAATATTGAGTTTCTATACCATTTCTACGAAAGGACTTTTTTCCATATAAAATACATGGAAAACTTTGAGCGCTTTGAGCAGAATTCTACTTCGTAAGGGTTATTATTAGGGCTCGGAATCTCACGCAAATGCATATTTTTACTGGTCATCTTCAAATGGAAATGGTTAAGTTAGCTTTACAAATCATGAAATTTCCTTTCAAATGGAATATTTTGCAGTAAATGCATGGTTTTTCATTACGTGCAAAAAAATACTTGTTTTGCATATTTTGCAAAAAAATACCTGTTTTTGCATATTGCGCATATTTTAGTATATTTTACAATAAATGCGTATGGTTTTTGCATATTTTTGCCTTTTTTGATGTACAACCATTTAAATTTCAACTTTTCCAAGTAATCAAAATTATGAGAAATAAGAATGAAAAATTTTGTACGCAGAACTATGATAGACATTTTATTTCATTATATAATATATTGTTTATAAATGAGTTTATATTTTTATAAATCATAAGTTTTGAGTCATATGTACCGTAGTAATTTTAAAATTTCAAAATTACATTTCTACCGAAAAATAAGATATTCGAGCTAATTCGACGGCACACAGTGTACTTTTTTAACACTTCATGCCACTTATTCGTAGCTCTTTCGACAGAAGCAATATTTTGATATGAAACAAAATGGCTTTGAAAGCTAACGTAATTGGCTTTCAAGGAAAACTATTGCCACTGAGCCACAATCACTTTTTAACCTTGGTCACAAATAGTGTTCTTTGAAAAAAAACATGCAAAATCCAATCGATGTGTTTAAAAAAAAAAACATTTTTTGTATTTCTTTATTATACTAAGGGCCGATTTTATAATAAAATTAAGGAATATTTTAAAATTTAAAGGGTGCTTTATTTTGCTGATCGATTTCATAAAGCCACTTTAAAGAAAACGGTACCCTTTAGTTAAATACCCTGAATGAAATTTAAATGACAAAGGTCCCTTTTGTAAGAAAAAAAAATTGGTCTGTCATATTCGTAGTTATAATTACATATTTATGACAATGAGATGATGCGATTTTGCATTGATTAGCATTGCCAACTTTATTTCCATTTAAACGAACCTTTTGTTATTATTCAATTGCCATTGTAATATGAAAACACCTCTTGTTTAAAGTACGCTTAAGTGACACTTTAACTAAAAGGAAACTTTTGCAAAAGGATTTTTAAATGTTTCATTATGAAATCGGCCCTAATATTAGGCGTGTGCTTAAAAATTGTATGGAGGCGACCTTAGGTCCCTTCATTTGCTTGACCAGATCAACATGCACAACATGATAACATGATACCAAACTCATTTTATGCATACATTCAAAAAAACCAGCGAAAGGGCAGCTAACTATTATAGGAGTATATGTTTAAAGCCTGAAAGAATGTGAAGGTAAAAGTTTTCACTTTTACCCCGTAGCGAATGTCATGCATTAGTCCCTTAAGAGTCTTGTACGGAAAAGTTACGTCTAAAATGACTTTGTGCTCCGTTTATATGGAAGTCGTTCATGACTTTTTCATATAAATGGTAATTTCGTCGTTGATGTCATCTGTATGACTTGGTCATGCAGTGATCATTAATAACATTCAAGCGACAGTATCTTGCAATGGACTTTTTATAAGTGACCGCTGCAAGACATTGTCTGTTTTAAGTCTTTGATAAGAGTACACCTGCATGACATTGTCACCAGTGACATTGTCACATATATGTCGTTTAGGATTCACAGCAAGTGCGACGATGTCACTAAATCCTCATTAGTAGGGAAGACAAAAATATGCACCAAAAATTTAATTATATGATCATTAAAATGACCCCAAAATATTAAAAATATGCTTGATATATGCCCCAAAAAATTTATTTTATTAAGAGCGGTTACATTGAACTATCATATGTTTTATGATATTTTCCAACGAAAATTGTTGTCGATTATCGGATAAAAAGTTTTTGTATATTGAGACTAAACGCTCTATGTCACTAGACGTTGTTGGACAATATTTAAAAGATGACAATTCTCCAAGTGAAAACATTGCAATAAATTCATCTGCTGCCTCAGCGTTTTTGTATAAAACATTCCGTATTTCCTGCATACGACTATTTATATCCAGGATTTTTGTTCAAAATTCTATTTAATTTTTGAACGTATTTTTGAGATTCCAATGATTTGACGTCGCTATAAATGGACTCCATTATTTTGAACCTTTCGCCTAAAACCAATCCTTTTGTTTCTAGCTTTGTAATAACAGCACCAATTTCGTAGAGGTGTGTATGTATTTATGTGAGATCAGTCTTGATTTTTGGATTACTGAAATTTTTCTTTGACAAACGAATCGCCTCGGCATCGTCACCTAGGAAACCGTCTATTACGGTTTTTATTTGATTAAATTTCACGCTGTAGTAAATTGCTACATTAAGCCAAGTTCCCCACCGAGTTATACATGTAACAATACTCGTGCCACAAAGCCTATTTACAGCGTGGCGACGAATAACTGTTACCCCGGTTTTTTGAGAAATAAAAGGGTCCTTTATAGATTTTGCGAAAAAGGATTTTATTGCTAATTTTCCACAGATTTTACTTTAGTTGTATTAATTATTTTTCAAATTTTAATCCTTATTAACATTTGCCAGCAGTTTAAACTTTCAGAGAAAAGTTCATTTGGCACCTAGGAAGTATATGAGAAGTTGTTAAAAAAATGCAATTGATTACAAAAATAAATTTTATTATGAAACAAAAATCGAAATTTTACAACTGCTTAAAAATTTGTTTGCAAATAACTCGTAAAAAAATAAAATTAGCGCAAAATCATTGGTGTCAATATTGCACACCATGTTAACTTTCAAAATCGGTCGATGAAATGTAAAAAATCGAGTGGCCCACTCAAGAAAACTTGACTCAGTGTAAATTGGTTTATGTGCCTATACTTCAGGGCAAAACAAAAACAAATGTGCTACAAGTGCTTATGGAGTGAGCAGCTCTTAAAATGCATTACTAAAATCGAAATGGTAATAGCAGGATGCACAACGTTTTAGTTTGGTTTTACTAGAATAGGTAACGTTACGTAGGTGCAATCAGGGTGGCCAGATGCGCTGATTTAATCAGTACGTGTGCTGATTTTTTTCTATTGTACTGATTTTAAGAGCCAGAAATCAGTACACAAAACCTACGATTTTTGGGTTTGTAGTGATTTTGTACTAATTTTTACATTTAATACTTCTGTAAATTGGTGTAATTGACATTTACTTGAGGTTTACATGTTCAAAGCAATGGTTTTAGACAACTCATACATATTAAGTACACTGAGAAGATGACAATAGGAGATAATCTTTCGATTATAATTAAACATCCACTGTGAAATCGGCTGTCAGTATTTCAAACTTAAAACGACTACTGCTACGGTGCAATGTAAGTTCTAAAAATTTGGAAAAGGTGCAAACTACCGACTCTTGGATATGATATATGTAGCTTTACTTTGATTTTTGATGTTCGACCACCTGTATTTTTACTTCCACATACACATTTAACACTGTTAAATTTCATTCGTACTCGAAAATTCATTTAGCGATAATTCGGTAATATACCTTTTAGTCAACATTTTAATGTGAATGTTGTATTTAATAAGCACACCAACTAAATATTTTTTTAAATTTGTAGCTTAAAATATGCAAACAGATTCTGACTCGAGCTCGTCTTCTACAGAAACTGAATGGGCTACATTTTTTTTTCTCAATTCTTATAAATTTTAAAGGAAAGAAGAAATTTTCAAAACCTGTCAATACATTTTATTACTATTTTCCTGAGCACAGCTGTACATACATACGTAATACCATTGATTTGTTTTAAAGTAATGAATTTTTGTACTGATAATACTATACGTATTTAAAAGTCTATTAGTTATTTTTTTTAATTAATGCGCTGTTATTTGGTTGTTATATTGTTAATAATAAAAAATACGCTTAAAAATGAGCTGATTTTTATGGCTCTGTACTGATTTTTGATCCCAACTGTACTGATTATGTCCCTATAATATCTGGCCACCCTAGGTGCAATGAACTTTTCAGTAAAAAACCGCATTTATTAGTTAGAGAATTTTCTTTCTCATGTTGCTATAAAAAATTTGTGGATAGGCTCATCTGCCTGTAATGGTTTTATATATGGTTCGGGGTAAAGCGTAAAAAATATTTTTATAAAAAACAAAAAAAAAATAACTTGAAAAACATTGTGAATTAAAACAAATCAACATGTGAACGTTTGTTTGAGTCACTGAAGCTAAATTGACTTAAAAATTCAAATTAAAAGATATTTTAATATGTATACCATGTTTCTATAAATGGAC